GGTATGTGCTAACATCCATATTCCTCTCACTAAGATGCATTTAGGTCCCTCAGCTGGTAATAACCTGCCTGACAGCCTCACGAGCTTTTGTACACTACATTCACTAAGTGACAATTTTAGGCGATGCAGATGCTGAGACTGGTGACAGATATGCCGAAGTTTATCCATTAGATATTTGGATTAGAAAGATTACTTCCCTAAAGCCTCCTCTGACCCCTTTTTTTCCTGGACAGTCTCTAAAGAGGAAAGTCCCTTGTTAAAACCAAAAACCATCTGAATCAAGTAATGTGAAGAATGAAATCAGGGGGAGTTTCACTCCCAACTCTAACCAAGAGTACAGCATTATTATTTACTAATTATTACTAACTTGTTATCAGCATTTTTGGGATGAACATTCTAAACCAGGTTGAAATAACCATTTATCTCTTGACCACACTCTTATTAGTACTGCCGTCACTCACTGAGTTGACAACACACTGAGATGAGAGAGGGAAAAAAAAGAAGCACAGCAAGAAAGCTATGATTAGGAGGCAAAAGAAGCCCGATGAATTTATCTAGGAAAAAAAAAAAAGCCCCTCACATGTAATTTAACCAAAGTTTGCTCAAAGGTTAAAACTCTTTTTATATTGTCTTATTCTTTCTAAAATATTGCATTATGATATATCTTAGCTTTGAACTTAGCTACAAAACCCAATATAAATGAAATTGTAGATTTGTAAGCTGACATTTTTCTTCAAGAGCTATGTCAGTCCATCATACATTCTCTGTCATGATTTTATAGAATCTCTGAAAGTACCAATTAGGAATTTGACTCTATTCATCTAAAAATTTTGGTTTCAGAAAAAGACTAAATAATTACATGTTTACTGAGTGCCTAACATGTTCCAAGACACTTAAACAAAACTTAAGCACAATCAATGCTCCAAACTTACTTGTTATTATCTTGAAAAAGGGAAGCTCTGTGTCTCCCCAAGCGTAGAGTAGTTTGTCTGCTACACAGTTCTTAAATATTCTCTTGAACTTTCTTGTCGACATATTGTAGAACTATTAGTTTTATAATATATGAAGATGAAAATTTAAGGCAAATCATAATAGATTATCCGCAGATAATAGGATAGATCCATAGGAAAATTTAAGGACTATGCTAATAGATTATCTCTGTATTCTTGTTCACCTGAGAAAATGATTACTAATAAGAATTTAATATCTGTTTGACTGAACTATCGTAAGGGCAGGTATTACATGATAATTTAGTAATGTTTTAACTAATTTGCAATACCTCCTGCATTAATCTCCACTTAACATTAAACAAACAATTGTTGGACATTGACTATGTGCCAAGCTGTTCTAGATACTAAGCTACAGAAATGAAAAAAAAAGACACAAATCCTTTCCCTTCCAGAGCTTATGTTCCGGGGGTGCTGACAGATAATCAACAAATAAGTAAAATATCCACATGCTTAGATGTTGACAGAACTAGGGAGAAAAACAAAGAAGGTTTGGTTGGAGGGAGCTGAAAATTTGAGTAAGATGGTAGGAGAAGACTTCACTGAGAAGGTGGCATTTAATGAAATCTGTAGGAGGAGAGGGAATGAACTATGTGGATTTCTCAGGAAAAACACTCCAGGTGGAGTGCATTTGGCTGTTGTGTTTAAGAAACAGCAAGAAGCCAGCATGGCTGGAGGAGAGAGGGCAAAGGAGAGGACGTTAGCAGGTAGCAGGGCTGAGCCATAGTAAGGGTTCTGACTTCTACTATACATGAGATGGAAAGAGTTGGAAGGTCTGGAGCAGAGTCAGGCCTGGCAGGCCATATTGCAACTGGGTCACTCTGGCTGCTGTGTTAACAGACTCTGTGGGAGGAGGAGGAAATGAGGACACCGGTTGGGAGCCTATCGCAGAATCCACATGAAAGATCTAGCTGTCTTGGGCCAAGGTGGCAGCAGTGGTGGTTGTGAGAAGTAGTTACGTTCTGGGTATGTTCTGAGGGTACAGCCAAGAGTATTTGCTGACGGATTGGTTATGGGATGTGTGGGAAATTTCAGCTAAGATGCTAGGTAATCTTGTTTGATTTTCTATTATCTTACTCCTTGCTTGGAATATAAATTCCAGGAGGTTAGAAAATTTATTCTTTTCACTTCAATACTCCAGAATCCCCAGTTCAATACTATCTACGCATTAAATATTACTGAATTAACACATAAAATCACACAAAGGGAGGGGGGATTAGTTTTATTTTAAGCTCTCTGAATAAAAAATTTATATTGTTGCATAAAATTCTATATACTCTGGTTCTAGTAATGGTTTCTGAAGAGAAATCGGTAACCAGGATCGATTCTAAGTTCATAAAGACAGAATTACTCTTAATGGACTCAAATGATAGTAACTGATCAATGCCATAAAGTTTTCTCAAAGCAGATCTCAGAATCTGCTCCAACACTTACATTTTAACCTTTGTCGAACGGGAGTCAACATAGCACCTATGCATCTTATGAATACCTCTATAAGGAAGGAGAATAACTCTTTCTCCATGACAACTGGATACCTGTCCAGCTCCTGAAACTTCTGAAAACTCCATCACCCATAAATAAAGCACAAGGATCTCTCTCTACTTAACAGCATCACCACTAGTGGAGGAATTTTAACATGGACTGTGGTGATCCTGTACATACTAAAATCATGCTTAAAAAGGTAACAGGGGCTGGGTGTGGTGGCTCACATCTGTAATCCCAGGACTTTGGGAGGTCAAGGCGGGCAAATCCCTTGAGGCCAGGAAAATCAGACCAGCCTGACCAATGTGGCAAAATCCGATCTCTACTAAAAATACAAAAATTAGCTGGGCGTGGTAGCACATGACTGTAATACCAGCTACTTGGGAGGCTGAGGCATGAGAATTGCTTGAACCTGGAAGGTGGAAGTTGCAGTGAGCCGAGATCACGCCACTGCACTCCTGGCTAGGTGACAGAGCAAGACTGGATCAAAAAACAAACAAACAACAACAACAAAAAAGGATAATAGGGCAGAAAAACAAAAGGGTCCTATTAACTATTCCATTTTTCTGAGATCCTCTCCATTACTTCCTTTGGCTAACTCATCAAAATGTATTCTAAAAATACAGCAAGTGACATTCTATTAAATAACTTACATTGCCAATTATGGCAGACTCACACAATAAAAAGCACAACCACTGTGCTAATTTGTTACTAAATGGGATTATACAGAGTGGAGTGTTTAGAACACTGCCTGGCCCATAGTTAGTGCTCAATAAATACTGTTTATCATTATTGCTATTATTTCACTGAAGATTATAGAGTAAGGAAAATCGGCAAATATTTATTATGTGTTTGTTTTACACTTAGCACTGTGCCATGTGTTGGGATACAACGAATTAGAGACCACAGTCATATTCTTTGGAAGCTTAAAATACATACAACCAGAGATAGAAAATCTAAATAGATAAAAATTCAGTAGTGTATAAAACAGCAGTAGAATGTGAACTAAAATGTGATAGTTATACAAGATATAGTATATAGTGAAAGGATGATACATTTCCAAAAGGAGATTTCCTAGGAAGCCCTTAAAAGAGAAGGACTGGCACTAACTGTGACACAGTGCTAGGAACATAAAGAACAACAAGGCAGTAAATGTATTAGCCAGAACTAGGATAATGGCAGAGGCAGGTGATATAATGGCATAGACTCTTATCTGAAATAAGAGTCTGCTAGATTTCTGACTAGATGGATTCAGGGTTAGAGTATGTCAACTTCTACCTACCTACTAGGCTAGTTAATAGTAGATAGTTGAAGCTCCAGTTAGAGAACTAGGCTGAGTCCAGACTGACCACTGGGTGGCTACAAGTGGCCCAATATGCCAGGATGGAGACTAGTCAGTGTACAGTATTGGGCCAGTCAAGGAAGAGAGAATGTTTTATTCTGCAAAAGATCTAATAGCTAAGCTGCTAGTCAGAAAGAACCTAGGGTCTCTAGCAGAAGCATCAAAAATGACTGAAATAATGTCTTGGGGCCCCCCCAAAAAAAATTGGTGCAATTAATTGGGACACAGAAATTACCAGGATGAGTCAGTTTTGGAATGAAAGAAAATGAACAATTTAGTTGTATAGAAGTAGAGTTTCGAGAAACAGGCAGGCATCTACTGCCTTACGAGTAGCTGGAAATGTGGAATCCATATTTAAAGAGGAGAGTGAACCTGTGAGAACAAATGAGATTCACCACCCCACCCTTGGAAAACACAAAATTAAATCTTAGACAAGAGATAGTGAAAAAGATGCAGAAGTCAAGAGACAGAATTTGAGGGGATAGGATCAGATGGAATAGGGTGTTTAGAGACTTTTCCACGAAGAAAAATAAACCTTTCAGAGCACAAGTGCCCAACAAAACTGACAGAATAATCTCATACATGAAAAATTATGCCTGATTTTGTGAAAAATTGAAGGATAATGCAGAAAGAGCAGGCCACATGACATAATCCTACTATAAAAGCATGAAAGCATGACTCAGAGATTTAACCCACAGAAAATTATTAATAGGTCCTTTCTGTTTGCAAAATAGTACAAACATGCCATACCACCAATAACAAAATAATCAGACCTTTATTCTCCCTCTCTCTACTTTGCTTTTTAAAATATGTGGATTAAAACAATCTCTAACGATTTCAATGTTAACTTCAACCTACATCCAACAGTAAATAACCAATCTCACTGGCTATTCATTTTAAACTGTGCTTTGCCAGCGTTTGTGGAATGGTGGCCAATTTTTTTAACTTGAAAACTTAAAAGTTTGAAAGTCAGTAAGAGTTGACATTACCAACTGTTTTTTTTTTTTTTAAATTAAGCACAGTTCAAAGATTTCCTTAATATTAAGTGGCAGCTTTTAAGCTTTTTTTCTTTAAAAAAAATTTCCACTGCTGTCATAGCTTCTGTTAAAGCACAGTTTATAGATAGTTGATCAGGTGTGCCCGTTGATATTTTTTTGGTACTGAAGTTGTTTTATTTACAGTATTAAAACTTTTTTTATTTGAATAAGTGGGGAGAAGGGAAATATATTTCAGCACTTAGATATACAAATTATTTCCAAAACAGTTTAATACTCAACTAGTCGGTTCTATCAAAATCAGTTTTCCCTGGAACAAGCATTGTTCCCAGCTACAAGCGATCCTCATTTCGCGTGGTACTGTGGGACCATAAAACGGCCCTGAAATCTTAATAATCAATGGGGAAAATGATGATTGTTCCATGACCTTTAAGATACTGCTAAAATATTAAAAATTCTTCAGATCAGTTATAAATGTAGGAAAAAAATGCAAAAATGTTTAAAAATATTTAGTACACTGTAATTTAAAACATTAGAAATAGAACTAAAGTGGTTTATTTCATTGTAAAAACGAAGTAGTTTGAATAGGGCTTGCCTTTTTTTCTGGCAAGTAACTTATGATACCGAGGGAGCATCTTTTATGTTCATGGCAAACTCATACTTCTTTTAAGTTTCGGTCAGCTTCCACCCTTTTATTGCTTGTGCTTTCAGTGTTGTGATATATTTCTATATTCACATTAAATATCCTTTAATGTAAAGTTTTTTTTTTTAACCATCACTTCCTCTGGGACACATTTGTCTTTATTGCAACCATGTTTCTTATTTGTGTTGATAAGTTTGCCTTCATTAAGCTCCTATGAATGCACAGCAGCAAGAACAATACTCCCATGGTCAGTGACTTCTTCTACAAATTTATTTATGTTTGATTAAAATTTCACTTCCAGTGTTATCATTTTTCATTGCTTTGCTGCACTTTCATCTTTGTTGGCCAGTTCTTTTGAGTATTCACTTCTATAAAATGTCAAGTGGATGACAAAGAGACAGCATAACTACATGCTCTGCTGTAAGTGAACTGAATAACAGATACACAGGGACAAACCACTGGAAGAATCTGAAAGTAGTCAACATGACTGGTCATTAATCATGAAGTATATCTGTTATTTACATAGCGATTTGTAGACTGAAGAACTAGCAGAGAAGTTTGTACTTCATGTAATTACTCAGAGTTATACTGTGCTAACTAAAATTTTAACCTAGATTTTAACAACAGTTTCCTTACCAGTTTCCTTTCCTTCCTGTTAAGGAAACCGGTGTTTAAACTAAATCTGGGTCACTGAAATTTGTGCCCAAGGGAAACATGCAAATAGAGGACTGCCTACACCCTACTTGTTTATATTGATCCAGACAGGCTTAATAGGCTGAAAAATAGCCTATCTGAATTTATATCAAATAGTGAATATTAAAGCACCCAAGATGAAAAATTAGGGCACACTGAGGTGGTTTTAAAATCTTTGTCATATGACAATCAAGCTTAAAATGTATCTTAGAGTGACAGAATTTTAGAAATAATGACCTTTAAAGGCCCCATAGTTTGGTACCACAGATTATCCAGCATGTTTATTATGAATTATTTCTCCTCCTTCAATTTCAATTTGCTCATACAGCCACTTGCGGTCACAGGGGCATTCAGCTCCACACTTGGTAGAACTACAGGCAGGACAAGCATAGAAACATCCTAAGCAATCTTCATCGAGGCAGTCACAGAGGTCCATCCCACTAAAAATCAGGAGACCTTGGCTATCACAGACCTTACTCTTTGCTGTTATCACTTGTCTGTCTGAACTAGCGGTTGCATTTTTTGTAAGCCTTCTTTTTTCTCTTTTACCAGTTTCTGGAGCACATTCAGTTTGCCTTCCTGGATTTGTAAATTGTAGTGACCTCAAAGCTTTAGCAGTTCTTCCATCTGACTCAGGTTTCCTTTTCTGGTGGTCTTCAGTATCAACATCCACACTTCCATTGATTATCTGTGTGCATTTTGGACAAAGCTAACAATCAGGTACAAGCTGTCTTCCGAATTTTGCACTCAGAAAAGTGGCATCATCTAAGTCAATTACGTGCAAATTTTTTTTGGCTAATTTTTTGTGTATGTTAAATGGGTCACAACATGACTTCTGTAAATCCTCAAATCTGTCAATGTAAATTTTTACATGATGAAAACAAATTGCATTGTTCCCAGAAAGTGTCATTCCAGTTCTAAGTTGAAGTAAAAGCATATCATTTGATGACAATTCTTGCAAAGTCTTAAAACCTGTGTGACGAGTATAGTAGGTTTTATGGCATTCATTTGTAGTACGAAGCTGGACTCCAACTGAACATGGATCCATCATTCTTGATTCTAGCAAATTTTCCCTGTTTTATTTTGTCTAGAGGTCTAGGTCATGGGCTGATCACCCAAAGTCCTATAATAGACATTTAATAATCAAACACAAGCATTCCCTGGAAAGTCAGAACTTCACGAGAATACCCGGCTTCGGGCAGGATCCGCGTCCACACAGGACACACTCGACCGCCCGCTTCCCAGCCAGTCCCCACGCTACCACTGGTACTGAAGATTTTTTAGAAATCACCCTCATGTACTCTAAGGCACAGCTGAAATTAGATTTTTAAATGGCTCTTTTACAAATGTATATAATATATGCATGTATATTTGCATATATGCTCATTTCTGTATTTATGAAGATTGAAGGCAGCCTCTCAAGACTTAGTTCCAATTATGATGGTTAAAATAGAAAAAAAAAATAGGCAAAAAGGCACTGCTCTAAAATGTAAAGAAAATAAAATTAATGCAAAGAAAAAAATTAGAATGGATATATTTTCCTTAAAATTATGACTCTGACAATTGAAAAAAGAAATGAGATTGAATTTCTAAAAATTATGATATTTAACATGGCAGGGGTAAGAATAAAGAGAAAAATGCCAGGTGTGGTGACGTGAGTCTGCAGTGCCAGCTACTAAAGAGGCTGAGGATCATTGGAGCCAAGGAGGTCGAGGCTGTAGTGCACTGTGATCACACCTGTGAACAGCTATTGCACTCCAGCCAGGGCAACATAACAAGATCCCATTTCAAAGAGAGAGAGAGAGAAGACAGAAACTATGTATATCACATATTGGCTCACCAAAAAAGTTAAGCTGTAATAGAATAATACAATCATCTAAATATAATATAATATAATATAATATAATATATATATAACATATAACCATATAATAATCTGAAAAGCATGTTGGGTCTCTCAGCAAATGCCTTTTTCCCACCTATTCTTGGATATTGTTCTATAATGCCTGCTTTTCTATCCCTTTGAATGGCTCCTTTCATCCTTTAATTGGGAACGTGGGTGGCACCTCGCAGAGCCAGGCTGGGGTAGGCACTTCTACAGGCTCTCAATGCCCCTGGCGCATACCCATTCACAGTGGATGCACTGCGCTGTGATGTTAATAGTTGCTATTTATTCATCTGCCTTCCACTAGACTACACCTAGCTCTAGAGGGTTGGGTGTCAACCTTTATTCATCTTTTTGTAATCTTTTAAATACAATATATGGCACATACAGTGTTTGAATATATAAACTAATGAGTCATGTCCTGTGTTATCAATATGAATTGAAATATAGCATTACATCTTAAGAGAAAATCTAGTCACTCAATATACAAAGGTAGGCAACTTTTAGGGAGAACTGCAAGCTCAAAGCTGTAAGTCTTACACCTCTACAGTATAAGTCATTTTTGTTTCACCAGTAGCATATTCATGCTTTCCACAAAAAACTAATGCTTGGTTTTGTAAGATAAAGAAACCCAAATGGAAAGGTGTGAGTTAAGTATGGAAAAGCTAATTCACAATGTGATTTAAATCATAAAGGAATGATCTCCTGACCTATGGAACTCCTTCTATTCAAGCAGATATGAATCCACACTATAACTAAAGAGATCTCCAAGTGTGAGACCTGATGGGATAGAGGGGGAAAAGGACACACGCATGGATTTGAAAACAGAGTGTAAATAACAGCCACCCTAAAACAGTAGTCAGTTTCTTATTTTTACTCATCTTCTAGTTTCAGCAGCTCTGCCTTCATCCTCTCTCAGTTTCTGGTTTGCTTGTCAAAGCAACCTTACTGGAGAGCAATGGGCATATTCACAGGAGGAAGAGCCCTGGTGACCACAGACAGCCTGCTCCCCAAGAACCTACCTGCCTGCAGGGAACCTGTCAGGCCAGGGAAGAAATTCTAGGCATAGAAAAACAGCAGAGTATGTTCACTTCCAGTAAGCCACTGAAATCTGTGCCTAAAAAACCTCAGAAGCAAAATAAATGACCTCATATGGCCATTATGGCAAGGGACAGAAACAAGTCTGAGTTGAAAGAATGTAAACAATACCAAAAGACTTTTGAAAACCAACTTCCAGTACATTTCACAAATTTGGGCTTTGGAATAATAATAATAAAGCGATGAGATACAGGGGCTGAGTCCCCAGTTTAAACATTAACTCTTATAAAATGCAGTACAACTTTAAGAAGTTACAGGTCATCTGCTGGGAAAAATTTGATACCCTGTCAGTCTAGTTTTAGAATACCCAGGCACTCTGTACACACACATGCTGACCAGGCATTTAATCTTTTCAAGGTACATCGTTCAGGTAATTTCAAGAGAGTAACCTGTTTTAGCAAGTTTACATAAATGGACATCAAAGTAAAGGAGGGGTTGGCACCTGCTTCCTTGCCCAGTATTCTAGAAGACAATAACTGTACAATCTCTAAGTGCTCTAGTCTCAGCTTCCTGCAAAGAGAGTCCTGTGATCCAGGTTCCAGTGATTATATGACAAATATTGCAGTCGCTAACCTTTCACAAGGTCCTTAGGTAATAAGAGAAAAATCAGACACCTCAGCACATGCTTTTCCTGGCAGCAGCCTGGTAGCACCTGTCTATAAGTTCAATGGCAGCATAATTTTAACAGAGAAGGCAGTTAAGTGCCCTGGCAGTGTATAATCTCATAACTTTTCACGTAAAAAAGAACCATATGTTTACTGTCCTTGCATTTTCTCGGTAGTAAAATGTAAGCTGTACTATCACTCCACTCATATATACTTTTCCTCCAGTGCCACATTAAACTGTGATTGATTGCAAAAAAAAAAAAAAAAGAAGAAAAAAAAAAATTACCTGAATCCTCAGGCTAGCATTTATTGTTACTTAAAACTTAGCCCTATGTTTATACTGTATCATCAAATCCTAAATTCTGCTTCATAATCCACCTGCAAAATTCATAAAGGTATGCAAGAGACCGTGGTATTATAGTGACATCCATTCAAATCCGGGCCATGGACACAGGGCCTGGGGTACCTAGCTGTTTCTCCCTTTCTTCACGTCGCTCCCGGGCCAGCCGCTGCCGGTCATCAACACGTAACACAGGCGGAGGGTCTGAAAACGAGATTAAAAAAACATGCGATGAAGAGTGGATTAAAAAAAAAGAAAAAGAAAAAATACACATTGATAAATATTCAGTAAATTTGAAGAATAAAATATTGTTACACTTTACAACAATAAGTACATGTGACTAGAGTTACAGTGATCCACTCAGTTATTACAAGTTTTCTAAGGACTTCCAAGCATTTTTCCTCTATTTGAAAACATCATGTAAATCATGACATAACTATAGCCTTTTGGCTATTTTCATCAAACAATATAAATGATGTTTTGTGTTCCTAAGCTACCAAACTTCTATTATTTTTACGCTTTAAAAAGTCTGTTCCGTAACGACCAACAGAATCCTTAAGTGGCTTTATATTGAACAAATGTTTGCCAGTTAGAGGTGAAGTGCTCGAGTCCAACAGACATGCATTCAGTTTCTGCCCCATCACTCGCTGGCCAAGGTACTTACCTACTTCTCTAAATCTCAAGCTATGAGGTGTACTTTGATTTATTACCTGTAAAATGAGGATCCAATAGAGCCTATTTTGCATTATTATAATGACTGTTAGTGGAGTGTGTAGTGTGTATGTCCCAGTAAATCACTGAACATCTACTATGTGCTCCAGGCACTGTTCTGTATACTGAAAAGACAGCAGTCACCAAAAAAGACAAAAACCTGAGACTTGGTGGGATTTATATTCTACTTGGGAAAAAATCTGACAAAGAAGATAAATAAGTACTATACATAGAATGAAAAAGGAGAAAAATACAGAGAATATTAGACTGAGATAAACGTTAAGGAGACAACAAAGAAATGAAGGGGATTATGACATGTCAGGAAAAGGATGTTTAATTTTTCAGATGGAGCCCAAGGAAGGCCTTACTGTGATAATGATGTTCTATAGAAAGTAAGTGCAAAGGCCCTGAGGTTGCAAGTACCTAATGTGTTCCAGAAACAACCGGGTGATCTGAGGGACTGGAACAGAGTGAGATGAGTAAGTGACGGGGCTTATGGTTAAGGTGAGGACTTTGCATTATACTCTGAGTGAGACATGGGTGGAGAAGAGGGGTTCTGCAGCAGAGGGCTACGTTTACAGGCTCACTCTGCTGCCATATAAAAACAAAATAATAAAAATGATCATCATGATACTCATGCTTAAAATTAGGTTTCTTTTTCTCTTTACTAAGTTGACATTAGAATTGACGTTGACAGGCTGTGTGTGGTGGCTCACGCCTGTAATCCTAGCACTTTGGGAGGCCGAGTGGGTGGATTGCCTGAGCTCAGGAGTTCAAGACCAGCCTGGGCAACATGGTGAAACCCTGTCTCTACTACAAAATACAAAAAATTAACCAGGTGTGGCAGCGTGCACCTGTAGTCCCGGCCATTCAGGAGGCTGAGGCAGGAGAATGAGAATGGCTTGAACTTGGGAGGCGGAAGTTACTGGGAACCGAGACTGCGCCATTGCACTCCAGCCTGGGCAACAGAGCAAGACTCCGTCTCCAAAAAGAGAAAAAAGAATTGATGTTGACATTTTTAGAATCTCATGTTAAAAATGGGAATCTACTATAATAATAGAGACAAACTGAGTGCAGTGGCTCACACCTGTAATCCCAGCACTTTGGGAGGCCGAGGCGGGTGGATCACCTGAGGTCAGGAGTTCAAGACCAGCCTGGGCAACATGGCAAAACCCCATCTCTACTAAAAAATACAAAAATTAGCTGGGCATGGTGGCACATCCCTGTAGTCTGGGAGACACAGTGAGACACCATCTCAGAAAAAAAAAAAAAATTACAGTAGAGACAAATAGTAGTGCTTTGGCAACAAACTTACAGGTCTGCATCCCAAATGTCTTTTTTTGTTTTTTCCTTTTGAGACAGTCTCGTGTAGTCCAGGCAGGACTGCTGTGGCACAAATCATGGCTCACTGCAGCCTTGACCTCCTGGGTTCAAGTGAATCCTCCCACCTCAGTCTCCTGAGTAGCTGAGACCACAGGTATGCACCACCACATCTGGCTAAGTTTTGTATTTTTTGTAGAGATGGGATTTTGCCATGTTGCCGAGGCTGCCAAATGTCTCTTGAACTTTACAGAATTTGTACATTTAAAGAAAATAAAAACAGTAAAGACATCCCTTAGGAGCCTGCATAAACCAGGCAGTGTGGATGAGGAACAAGACTAGTGGATGGTTTTTAAAAATTGGTTAAATGGACACCCTCAATAGCTCACTATGATATTTTTCAGATTTCCTAATCATTTATGTACTTCTACATATTTTTTATTTGGGAAAATATGGCTCCTGGCCCTGAAGGTTTAATTTGGAAAAAAGAAAAAGGAGGTGGACATGAAGACCCTCTCAGGCAATTTATTAAGGGCTATCCACAGGAAGTTTTTGCTGTCATTTGTTTTTCTGAAAGAAAATGGTGGCCATAGTAAAATGGTATTTTAAAGAAAGAACTCGGGATAAAAGTCAAGATGAAGTTAAAAGAAAGACCTTTAACAATTACTTATCACTTTAATACTCCTTAAATAATATGAGGTTTACTCACTCATGAAAACTTTTTTTTTTTAAAACAGGATCTTGCTCGGTCACCCAGGCTGGAGTGCAGTGGTACGATCATGGCTCACTGCAGCCTCAATCTCCCTGGCTCAAGTCATCCTTTTACCTCAGCCTCCCAAGTAGCTGGGACTACAGGTGTGCACAACCACAATCAGCTAATTTTTTTTTTTGAGACGGAGTTTTCTCACTCTTCCTCCCCAGGCTGGAGTGCAATGGCGCGATCTCAGCTCACTGCAACCTCTGCCTCCCGGGTTTAAGCGATTCTCCTGACTCCGCCTCCCAAGTAGCTGGGACTACAGAGGTGCGCCACCACGCCCAGCTAACTTTTGAGACGGAGTTTCCTCGCTCTTCCTGCCCAGGCTGGAGGCGCGATCTCGGCTCACTGCAACCTCTGCCTCCTGGGTTTAAGCGATTCTCCTGCCTCCACCTCCCAAGTAGCTGAGATTACAGGCATATGCCACCAGGCCCAGCTATTGTATTTTTAGTAGAGATAAGGTTTAACCATGTTGGTCAGGCTGGTCTCAAACTCCTGACCTCTGATGATCCACCAGCCTCCCAAAGTGCTGGGATTGCAAGCGTGAGCCAGCATGCCCGACCTCGGCTAATTTTTTTTTTTTGGTAGAGATGGGCTCTTACTATGTTGCTAAGCCTGGGCTTGAACTCCTGACTTCAAGCAATCCTCTTGCCTCAGCCTCCCACAGTGCTGGGATTACAGGCATAAACTGCCGCACCCAGCCTCATAAAAACTTTTATTTAATTATAAAGTTGAAAATCAATGTTGTAAAAGTCATATGAGCACATTATGGAAAGTCTGTAAAATAGACAGTTTAATTACTTTTAAAATTCCACTGACAAATTCTGTTAGACAATATTTCAATATGAAGTATATGACATGTCTAGCTTACTTTTAAGTATATGCCAAATTTCATACAAAATTTTGAAAAGAAGGCTTTAATAACATATGGGACAAATGCTACCCCCAGCAACCCACACCAACCCTGACAGCCCCAAGTCATAGTAATAACTGGTGCTCCTGCAGTAATGAGGCAATGCCCAATTATGCAACGTAATGCTTCCCCCTGCAAAGTGCCTTTTGAATGTATATTCTGAAAACAGTGCAAGAAGTGCTAGTTTTTTCCTGATTTCTATGCTATTGTTTCATATGAAAATTATATTCTTAACATGTAACAAACTGCATCCTGTTTCGTAAGATAATATGTAAACAACCAAACTTTTATACAATTAAACGCTGTAAATAAGGCCAATGCTTATGACTGCAGTAGTTCCTGGCTGTCCATCAACATTAGTGCTGAAATAATTACTATCTATCTGGAAATAGATTTGAGGAAGTAAAGAAATGTAACATTTCTGAAGTTCAAGATGCATAGTGGCTGTGATATACTAGATGATTTTGGTTGGTTTGGAAACCTGGCATTAGGAAATACTGAATTGTAGAGTGAAAAAGTTATTCAGTGTAGGTTGTTTCCATCCTTCTGTTCCCATTAATACGAAAGTCTCTTGGGTGCTAGAATGTCATTAACACCTGTGGCAGGTTAAAGATGGCTGTGCATGGGACTGGGGAGGAACAGAGACTTGTCTGTTTTCTTCCCTGCTGCATTCTCAATGCCTAGGGCTGCATGTGGCAGAAAAGGATATTCAATAAGTATTCGTTGAATGAATGAATGAACAATGGGCAACCTTAGCTAACCCTCAGAGCCTTTAAACGTCTATTAAGATGCACCAATGGGAAAAACTAAGAACAATCTTGTAGCTGATAACGGAGTAAACTATTTAAATGCTAGAAATTTAAATTTTAGTTTTAATAACTAAAAACTGATAAAAATTTATCTTTAAAGGTAGGTTTTCAAAAACATACAATTAAATAATTCCAGTAAATAGTGAATTTCCTATAATTCATTGCCTCCCTTCTCATTTCCACCCCCACATTATTTTTCCCTGAAACAAAAGGTATAGAAAATACTTTAAAATTATGTATAGGTCAGCCAGGCACGGTGACTCACACCTGCAATCCCAGCACTTTGGGAGGCTGAGGCAGACGAATCACTTGAGGTCAGGAGTTCAAGACCAGCCTAGGCAACATGGCGAAACCCTGTCTCTACTAAAAATACAAAAATTAGCCAGGCACGGTGGTGAATGCCTGTTATCCAAGCTACTTGGGAGGCTGAGGCAGGAGAATCGCTTGAAGTCGGGAGGCGGAGGTTGCAGTGAGCCGAGATCGCACCACTGCACTCCAGCCTGGGTGACAAGATGAGACTCCATCTCAAAAGAAAAAAATTATATATAAGTCAGGCACAGTGGCTCACTCCTGTAATCCCAACACTTTGGGAGGCCAAGGCAGGAGGATTGCTTGAGTCCAGCAGCTTGAGACCAACCCAGGCTCATTTGAAAAAGGGAGACCTCATCTCCACCAGAAATAAAAAAAAAATTAGCCAGGAGTGATGGCACATGCTTGAGGTCCCAGCTACTCAGGAGGCTGAGGTGACAGGATCGCTTGAGCCTGGGAGATCCAGGTAACAGTGAGCCCTAATTACACCACTGCACTCCAGCCTGGGCGACAGAGTGAGACCCTGTCTTGAAATAAAATAAAATAATGTATATTCTACATTGTTTCCCAATGGATCTAATATGGTTAGAATAAAATTAAGTTACCAATTCTCACAAGGAAAAAGGCTTTAAGAGGAATAGAACTTAGGCTTAAGTAAGATCGCAGTTGCACTCCACATTCAACCTCCTACCTATGATGGTTCAAGTGTGGGGTGACATCTAACCTGGGGCACTGTTAAGGGTGAAAGGGAGTGCCATTAAAATTCTGTGTTTGATAATATGCATAAACCTGGATTGCTTTACACACATCTGAGAGTATGGTCATGCTACTAAAGAGCTCTCAAAGTTGACAAGGCGTTTACAAGAACTCACTAGGCCTTGACTCATATGTAACAACTACTATTTCTACAGTAAATACTTCTGTATTTCTGTTAGCAATTTGTACTTTATGAAGCACTTTCACATATTATCACTTTATTCTTCCCAATAACACTATGAGTTACCCAAGCATTTATTTATTCAATGAAGAGTTACTATGCCTCTTCTTCAAATGAAAAAACTCAGAGAAATAGATATGACTAATGAAGATAGCAAGGACATGTGTCAGAGTGAGGGCATAAAACCCGATCTCTAATTCAGTCCTGTGCCCATCCATGCACCATGGCAGCTACAGTCATTACAATTGCACGGTGTAGCATCAGAGAAGGGCTGGAAGATTCGAAGTCATGCATGCCTCTATGAGGGCAATTTACTTATAAACAATAAGACAGAATAAAGTTTCAGTGGCTCTTTTAAAGACTTCTGTTGGGGGACAGCAAAGGGATAGGAATTCAGAGGGATTTTTAAGGAATTTGGATATCTGCTTTTCTCAGGTCCATGAAAACACGCAGTTTTCTAAGGAAGTCAAACTATTAATCATTTGGAGGCAGCTGGAGTTCTGAAGAACCACCTCCCACTTCTTCAGGAATTAGTAGATGTGGACAGATCTGTGACTTTACAAACTGTCTGATTTGGTCTGGGTTCAAGTATTCACATTTGAGAGCAATGGTCCTTCCAGGATAACGCAGAACATAGTGTGCTCATGGTTCTAAAACACCATGAGGCACTTTCGTAATGTGCTTTTTTGTTTGTTTTTTGAGACAGAGTCTCGCTCTGTTGCCCAGGCTAGAGTACAGTGGCGGATCTCGGCTCACTGCAACCTCTGCCTCCTGGCTTTAAGTGATTCTCCTGCCTCAGCTTCCTGAGTGGCTGGGGTTATGGGTGTGTACTACCATGCCCGGCTGATTTTTGTATTTTTATTAGAGACGGGGTTTCACCATGTTGGCCAGGCTGGTCTCGAACTCCTGGCTTCAGGTGATCTACCTGCTTTGGCCTCCCAAATTGCTGGGATTACAGGCGTGAGCCACTGGCGCCTGGCCAGCCATAATGCGCTTTAAATATAAAAGTCACAACTTGAATGTGGAGAAATGTCTTCTAAATCATAGAGATGTTCTGGAGCCTTCTAACGAGTTTAAGTATCAGACGGTAAAAGAGGAAAGGACATTTAGCCAAAACTTACTGGGTTAAAAGGGATTCTCCGAAATCATTCAGTCAGGATGCCCATATCTGGTTAGGACAATACTCAAAATATCCCAAAATACATAATGAACTTTTTTTTCCCCAAGTTCTAGAAAATGAAAATCAACAAAATGCTTTAGACAGACATTCCCATGACCTGTATTCTACAAAAATTAAAAGGTATTACTCAAGGCCAGCCCTCCAACACATAACTCATATTATCCTTTGGAGAGACTCAGGAAAATAATGACATGGTGGCTTCTAAATCAAGAGCCTTTTCTATAGCTTGGCTTATCTGTATATACAAGAAAACAGACACAGGGATGCTCAAAAAGACACAATCAGAAGTGAAATGTCTCCCTATTTAACTTGACTTTAGCAATATAAATCAAATGACTGTGTATAAGGAGATGGCCAATTAGGGTGGAAGAGGTTTTTCTGGCTTCTGATCTCTATACACTGTGTGCAATCTCTCATCACACTGGTGGTTCTGTGTTAGAATGACTTATTCATATATTGGTTTATCTATCATACTGTCAACTGGAGGGTAGAGATTATGTCTTTTAGTAATATATTCCTAGTACCTTCATGATGCTAACACTAGATGAATAAATGAGTTATCAGGATATAAAAGTATAAACTGCACAGTAAAAAAAAAAAAAACAAAGTAGAAATTAGAAGCAGTGGTGGATGGGGAGAACCAGAGAAATATAGCACCAACAATTAAGCTATGTTAAATTCTCATTGTATAACAAATGTGATTTTCTTTTATTTTTTTAAAACACATTTATTCATCTTTTTAACCCTCGTGGCTCAGCACAGGGCCTGACACACAGTAGGCACTCAACAAATATTTGACTTTCAAAGCATGACCATTCATGCATCCATAATCCTCTTTTTACAGTATAAAGAAGGCTGATATTCAGGCCCCAATGTGTATCTAAAGTAATATATACTTCCCAATAAGCTCTTCTATTTAAAAGTGAGAAACAGTTCTAGTGTTCAATTTCAAAATCAAGAAGACATTCAGGCGAGTGTATCACGTGTCATTAAAAGACAAATACCAAAGCATATTTGCCTGTGCACCACTGCGTCTTCCCTTTCCTTCATTTTCTCTGTCCATATGAAAGCAAAGGCTTTATTATAGTTTTCACCAACTGTAAGAGCCCTGGACAATTTTTGATAATGTAAGGGCTTTTTACTTCAGTTTTTGTCACATATTAAAGCTGTGTGTCAAGACTAAAGATTATCCACTATCTTCTCTTCTATCTCTATGTACTTTTCTATTTCTTCCTCTGATAGCTATAACTTGGTTTCTGAGTGTCTGGCTACAATAACCACAAAGGACTGTCATGACTCAAGGATATTAGCCACCACCACTTGATGCTGATAAACTTCCAAAGCCTTCTGAGCTCGATTAATTACAATGGAGGGGTCAGTCTCCAACTTAAAGGAAATTATAAATGCTTTGGGAGCACAATCTTCAATCAAAGGGGAAAGTATTTTTGGCACCATCTTCACTGTTCTCTGCAGTGGGCCCCCAGATGACTGGATCTTGTGCTCAGGCATTTCAGAGACAGGAACATAGAAATCTGACATGACTACACCATGTAAAACATCGCAGAAGGGCCGGTCACACCTCCAGTGGGACCTTGGTGCCACCTGACGTGACCAACACCACCCGCTGGCCCTGTGCACCCAGCCCAGCCACGAAGCGGGCCATAACCTCAGCGCAGCACCGGAGGCCAGGGAAACTCAGCTACGAGGTCTGTTTCCACCATCGGCCCAACAAATGTGCTTTTCATGCTAAAGAACTTCTACCTGCATGGAGACACACTTGAATACGAAAATAAAGGTCCACTAGAATACGCTCCATGGGGACAGGGTTCATGTTGTTTGCTCATGCAGTACATCTCTCATGCTTCTTTGGCATAGAAGAACTCAGTAAACATTAGATGGTAGCTGGAAGGTGGGTGGCTAGATGGATGGATAAATGACTCAATGAAAAGGCAGGCTGACTAAGGAAATCTCTGTTTGGTAATTAAAACTCCTCTGAGGCTGCACATCATTTTCCACTAATGGCAGCTTAAGCAATATTTTCAACAATATTTGTTATTGTCTTTCCTCTAAATGACAAAGCAGATTTGTCTGTTGTGTTCAAGACCTTTTCCACATGAAAAAAAAATTCACAAAACTAAACACAGTAGAATATTCTCTATAAGGTTAGACTCAGTTATTTCTATCTTTATTCTCACTGATTCACTGTGCTTGAGTGACTTCAGTACTGGATGCAGCATGAAATAGGTTTCCAAGAACCTCCTGGGGTATTTGGTTTGCTTTCCTTTCCTTTGATTGTCTCTTATTATCATACCATACATTCATTCTTTCCACAGGTCACGCAATGGTTACTGGATATCTGGAAGAAACCGCACTGTCGGTTCAATTGTTTGTATTATATTTATAGACTGTTAGATTACTTGTATCACTGAATGAAAGAGACTATGAATCAGAGGCTATTACATGAAATTACTGTGTAGGCATACAATCATTGCAAGGAATAGCAAACAAAACCATAATTCTACACAAGCTTTGCTATGTGTAAAGATTTCTTGAAATAGTTTGTGAAAAAGTCACAAAAGAGATAACGTGATAATGCCTGTTGGACACACAGGTATAAAAAATTGTGTCCTATCATTTGAAACAGAATAGTAAAATTATTACCCCTTTAAACTGCTTGACGTTAAATGAATGCATCCACATACATCATCTCATTGATTGTCAAAATGACTCTGAGAAGTAAGCAAGACGTGTGTTTGAATCTACATTTTAAAGAGAGAAAACCAAGGCTTGGCTTTGAGAGGTTCTCTGACTTAATATCAAATAAGCCAGTAGGAGTGTGTGTTTGGTGGCAGAACTGAAACCAAGCTCTCCTAAATTCTAGTTTTATGAAAACTAGACTTTAAACAAATTAAACCTTGATAATCGTCAGCATGCCTTTAGGGCATAAAAGATAATCTTTATTTTCCCACAATTAATGCAATGCATCATACCTGGTTTATTTCCTGAGTGGTTGTTATTTTGTCCTGAAATTGCAGAGGCAGGGCGGTTGGAGGCATTTTTCTTATCTTGCACTTTATAGCTATCGGGTGCTACAGAAATGAGACAAAAGAGAAAAGATACATTTAGTTTCTTAAAATTTCTTCAGAAACATTTACGTATTCGACATTTACTGTTAACCTATGTACCAGATTCTTAGGCTAGATTAAGGAAATGAAAAGATGAAGTAGTTACAACCCGTGCCCTCAAGGAGTAGGAAGGACATGTAAAAAATCAACAACCTCGGCTTGAGTGACCAATCTTATAGAAGTGGCATGTTCAAGGGGCCATGAAGGGCCTTTCCCACAGCTGTACCAGTTTACGCATAAAGCAACCAGGTGGAAGGACGACCGCAGTCTAAAGTCTTGGATCTGAGTTCTTACAAAGCACCATTGGCTTAGAATATATTTCAAATGCATTAATTTCTTTCTGCTTTGGTATATTCAACATCATTTAATCTTTCTTTGGGGTTATTGGGTCTCTGCAGTAGCCCCAGGTCCTGACAACAAACATCAACCCTAACTGAATATTATGTAACAGCAGACCATGGAGATTGAAAAGACTTCAACATATGTTCAGTACAAGTCACTTTTCTGAATCGGCCCGATAAACGCTTTTGGGGGTGGGGTGCTCGAGGGAGGCTGTAGTTTGCTTTATTATGCTGAAATTCAAATTAAAAAAAAATTCAATTGAACAGGAGTTCTGGTTACTTGAACTCTAATTTATCTATATCTAACTTTTATTGGATCCACTCTAGGTGAACATCAGAGGTCTACCTGCCCACTTCATTATCGTCTGGATGTCGGGAATTCATTTCCACCTCAGAAGACCTTCTGAGTCATACTGACCACGAGACAAATGTAAAATCCATCTTAAAATTTTTCTATGCTCATATGAAATTGATAGGTTAATTTTATTTTATGTTATTTTATTTTCCAGTAAGCCTTTTGGATTAGTAACAATAGGCTAAATTTTGAAAACTAAAAATAATTTCTGAAACTTGTCAGGTTGTTTGGTCTAAGATTATATACTGCTAATTCCTGTTAGGTTGGATGTATTTCTAAAGTTTTCAGGCCATCTCTCTGCTTTCATATCAGTCTTTTTCTTCTGCTATGGTTTAAGAGTCTGTATTTCTTCAAAAACTTCTTTGGTGAACACTGTAACAGCAAAAGACACAGACAGACCTGGGTTCAAATATGAGACTTGGTACGTAACCAGGTGAGTGGCCAGGAAGTTATTTGGCCTCTCTAAGTAGGTCACATGGGGTAATAATACTGCCTAACTCACAGAACTGTTGAAAGGATTATCTGAGAAGATATGTGTTAAAAATCTACCAAAAGCCTTGGCACATAGGAGGTGTTTAACAAGTATTCAAGGCCCTTTCTCCCAGCTTCTGTGCTTTTCTGTGGAGTCCTGGGCATCCCATTCTCATAGCACCCATGCAGGTTTGAGTGTGTTTTGGAGTCAGCAAACCTGGTTCTGCCATTTACCAGATGAATCCTCAGCATGTTGCTTAACATCTCTAAGTCTTAATTTCCCCATCTGTAAAGGGGAAAAACATCTACTTTCAGAGCTGTAAAAATTAAATGAGATAATGTACAGAAAGGTAGATCATTGCCTGGCCCACAGCAAGGCATGACAAATGGTAGAAAGTATTTTTAGCTCTCTTCAGGAAACTGGGCTTCTGGTTCCTCAGGGATTTGAGAGAAAGCAAACCCATGTTAACTTGGTGACAGGGTCCTGGGGGCAAGTGACTAATGTGGCAGAAAAGTCTGGGTCAGCAGCTGGCTCCAGAAGTTTTCAGCTCAGCCACAGTCATACCTCCTGGGGCTCTTAGGTAGGGTGAACTTATTGATATAATTTTTAGAGTATGGCCTGGTTTGGGAAGAGGTAATTAGTCTTTCTGGTTCAGGGTTTGGGGGAGATGACAGTTTTCTAAGATTTGATGCCTTTCATTATATTAAGTAAATCTGAGCCTTAAAAAAAAACCCTCAAGAACATTGGGAAAATAAAACAGGGAGTTTTTTGTTTTTTAAACAAAGTGCAGGGGATTTCACTACTTAAGAACACAATGACAAGAGGAATTTATTCATTTTCTGATTTCTAAAATTTAAAAACCTGAAAATCCTCATTAACGAGAAGATAGGATTGTATATACCCTTATAAAGGTTCTCATGAAAAAAAATTAAAATGATTCAGGTGACTTTCCAGTATTATTTATTTGAATCTCTCTTCTTTCATTTAAAAAAAAAGAAAGAAAATTAAGCCATATACTATGATGCTCAGTAAGTCTTTGCTAGCCTTATGTAATCTTTATTGACCATCCTGCTAGCTTGAAAGCTGTATTCCATTAGTGTCACATGTGAGTGTTGAGGTAAAGACAAGAGGAAGGATACAGACAAGCACCCTGGTGGTCTGGGACTCTCTTTCCGACATACTCCGCAACAAAATATAGAGGCATCAGACATTTGGAGCCTTCATCTGGTGAAAATTCTGTAGCTCCAGTAAGTGCTGCAATGTGTACTGTGCAATCCACATCCTCTACCACTCACTGATTCATTCCAACATCTTCCCATAAAGGCCTTGGTGTTCTCATGGCTTTGTTTCTACTTCTGGCTGTATGGTCCAATACAGTCTTCTCTCAACTGCTGAAAATAATTGGTCCAACAAATGACCTGTCAATTTAGTCAAAACACTTGCTCTGAGACACTTCTGACTATAACCTTTGCACCATCCTGTTTAAATCTCACTGAATAATATGGGGACTTGACATCCACAAGGATAATGTATTTCAGTCACTCTTTTTAATAAAATCTGCAATGTGGGCTGTGATACAGCAAAAGCTTAAACTCAGTTTCCAGCTCTGTATAGTCCCTTATCCATGGGGGACTACTAGGTTCCCAAGACCCCCCGTGGATGCCTGAATTTGTGGGTAGTACTGAACCCTATATACGCTATGTTTTTCGGATCTACAGAGACAGCTCCTATGTGATTGACAGGTGGGCAGCAACTACAGTGTGCATCCACTGGACAAAGGAATGATTCACATCTCAGGCTGGACAGAGCAGGAGGGCACGAGATTTCATCACACTACTCAGAAGAGCATAAAATTTATGAATTTTTTTTTCTGAAATTTTCCATTTAATATTTTTGGACTACAACTGACCGTAACTGAAACCTCAAAAAACAAAATCATGGATAAGGAGGAACTACTGCATACATGCTTTTCTGCTACAGTCTTCAATTGGAGTTTGTGGGCATACAGCCCCTCTGCGGACATATACTTGTGAGGATACAGCTTTGGGGGAGTGACCTAGAACAAACACAGAACTAGAGGTTGAACCACATGAAATAGCCTTTTATGTAGTGAAAAATGGTTAAAATTTAACAACTTTTAATGTTTCAATCTAATAGTTCAAATAAATCTGTATAGAAAAGAGTTACCATATCAGGCCTGAGATCGCTGTTCTTATTATTTTGTATATATTTATATATATTTATTCTTTAAATTTATTTATTCGAATATACTTGCCAGGAGTATTGTAACACTCGAATCATAGGTATGAAGTGCTTTATCCAATGTGATTTATAAAATTTGCATTAGAACAAGAAGGAAATAAAGCAACAGCATCACTCCTAATGACTTTCCTGATTATTCCATGTAATAGAGAATTTCTCCTCAGTTTAAAATCCTCATAATTATAAGTGAAGTTGGGTAGCAGTGGTCAAAGCTCAAGGGAGTTAGCATCAGGCAAACCTGGATTTCACTTCCAGGTTTGTTTGTAACACTCTAATCATAGGTATGAAGTGTTTTATTCAATGTGATTTATAAAATTTGCATTAGAACAAGAAGGAAATAAAGCAACAGCATCACTCCTAATGACTTTCCTGATTATTCCACATAATAGAGAATTTCTCCTTAGGTTAAATTCCTCACAATTACAAGTGAAGTTGGGTAGCAATGATCAAAGCTCATGGGAGTTAGCATCAGACAAACCTGGATTTCATTTCCCACACTACCTCAGTTTTCTTCCTACTTGTATTTATTCAAACAGTACACTACTCTATGGGACATCTTGAGCTCGATGCTGGAAGAAATATTATTAGGTGTGTAATTATCTCCTTCTACCACTTCTTTTTCCTTTTCTTGTCCTATGTTTCTAGGTTACACTGTATTCTGGAACTTTCAATTCCTCCAACACTATCTCCTTTCTTCAAAAATCATCTCCCATTATGTCCTGAAATACTATCTGTACATCAGTCACTGTCAAGTATGCATTTATAAATATGTGCTCTCAACAAAGTTCTCATCGTCAAAGTCTAGGGAATATCTGCTCATGTATTTCTGCTATCACTTGAACGTCCTCACAAAAAAGCCAATCCCCTAATGTCAGTCTCTTTGTCACTATCAACAGAACCACCAGGCTCAGAAATGTTAAGTCATTTTAATTAATTAAGTAATTTTTTCAACATTTAAAAATACCCCCATAGACCAGACACTGTGCTACACAGTGAGAATACAAAGGTCATATGACATAGCATCTGCTTTCAAGATGCTTACCATCCTTTGGAGGAGAGACAGTGGGCACATACATGAAATTGCAACAATGGACAGATTCAATTTTCTAAAAAATCCATAAACCCACAGAGGTTTAATAACCAAACAAATGATATAGATAGTGTTACAAGAATTCGGAGTGGGAGAAGGAGCCACAAGGGACAGTAGTCCCCGGGCAAAGAGCTTGCAGACCAGAAAGCATCCAGATAAGTGAAGAGTAATGTGAAGAAATTCCCTTACCAGGGTGGAGCATGAGCAAAACTACCAAGGGAAAGGGACAGGAGAGATAATTGGTACTGTCTAGTCAGGACAGCAGGTTTAGGAAGGGAGGCAGTTGAAGATATGACAAGCGAAACAGGCTAAGGTCAATGTCTCTTTGAATTCTGAGAGTGTGGACTTTTTCGTGAAGGCAATGGAAAGTCACTGAAGTATATACCACATGGAACTTCCAGCTGTGAACTACTTTAGCTTCAGTGGATTCTGTGTAAATGAACA